GGGGAAGGGGAATCTTCTGGCCCCCTGCCCTGGCCCCTGCCTGCTGAGTAGGGCTTTAGAAGCAGGTGGTCGAGGCGGGGGCAGGGAGCCAGGATTGGGATCCTCTCTCTAGCTCTGTACGAACTCCAATAGGGGGCCTGTCAGGGGCGGGGTGAGAGGCGGATCCAGCCCCCCTCCTGCTCACATACCCTCCATGGCTTCCATGCCAGTCAGACAGTGCGGTGCCCAGCCTGCACCTCAGAGAAAGTCGTCAGGTGGCCACTGAAGGCCCTCTGTGGTGGGCTTCCCCAGCCTCAGCCCCTGCCCTGTCTCGCCCTTGCCACAGCTCAAAGGAATTCAGCAGCAGGAAAAGCTCTGAAAGATAAAGCAGGAGGGCTTCTCGGAAGAAGGGGCAGGAGTTGGTGGCACAAAGTTGGAGAAGGAAGAGTGTTCTAGGTGGAGGGAGCGGCAGGATTCAAAGAGGCAGGAGAGACCAGGCCGGTTCCAGAAACAGAGGGGCCAGGGCGGCTGGAACCAGTGGATGGTGCAGAGAGACCCTGATGAGGCTGGAGGCGGGCAGGGCCAGCTCCGAAAGCACAGGCTGCCCCCCACTCCTCACCCGGAGCCTCTGTGCATTCTATTCCCTCCGTCTTTCTCTCTTCATGTCAGTTGTTTAAGACTCAGGTGCTAACCTTCAGCTCTGAGCAGCAGGAGTCAATCTCGCCTTCCTCTGGAAAGCCCTCAGGGGCAGGGACTGTGGCTGGGCTCCTTCAGGGTCAAGGTGTGGCTGGAGGTGGGGCCAAGCCTGCTCCTCCCAGGGGGTTGCAGGCCTGTCTTGGATGTTCTTGGCGCTGGCTCTCAGCCCAGGGTTGCAGGAAGGCCCCAGGAGCCCCAGTCCCCGTCTTCCCAGTTTCTGATTGTAGGGGAGTCTTGGGCCTGGTGAGCTGGACCCTGGAGCCCCTCTCCGCTCTCCTGACCCCCAGAGACCTTGGGGCAGCATCAGGCCCTGAGCTGACTCTGCCTTTGAGATCCTTTGTGGGGAGGTGAGGGGGGCTGACCTCTAGTTTTGGGGAGGACCCAGGGCTGGAGCCTGCACTCTTTCTCTCCCTGCCCCCCACCTTTATCCATGGAAATTCCTCCCAGAGCCCCAGATCTCAGCACCGCCATGCCTGTCTGTTGGGACTAATTGTCCTGTCTGGAATTTCAAGGTGTGAGGCTTTGGGTCCCAAGCCAGGCCTGACTGTCACATCTGGGGCAGCTGGTGCGCTGGGCAGTTCAGCTCTGTCCTCAGTGGAAGAGGGTCCACATGGAGGGTAACACTAACTTGTGCTGAGCACCTGCTGTATACGAGGCGCTCAGCTCTGCACACCTCTCAGCACATTACCCGATAGGGCAGATGCTGTTTGCTATGAGTAATGAGTAAACTGAGGCACAGAGAGACTAAGTAACTCGCCCCACGTCCGTCACACATTTAGTAAGTGGTGGAGCCAGGACTCCAACCCAGCATTCTGGCCCTCAGCCTGCTCCTGCCACCCAGCGGTTCTGATCCGGGGGCGGGGAGTGACAGGTCCTCAGTGGTGGCCGTCAGCAAGAGGGCTGTCACCCTGGCCCCTGGGTGGGCAGGAAGGGGTAGTCAGGCCCACCCCGCTCTGCCCACCTGGAGGCCACAGCCGATGCCGTCCCTCCATTTCACTCTGTCCCTCTGGGTGTGTCCGGGCTGCTGGCCTCAGTGCTGAGCCCAGGGCCTGTGTCTGCCCTCCCCAGGCTCAGCGCTGGCGCAGTGAGAACTTTGAGAGGCCCGTGGACCTTGAGGGCTCCGGGGACGATGACTCCTTCCCCGATGATGAGCTGGACGACCTGTACTCGGGGTCCGGCTCGGGCTGTAAGTACCTCCCCTTCCTTTTCCTTGCGTGTGTGTCGAGCTGGCCACGTCAATCTGCCTCCAGTGCCCCACGCAAGGCTGATCTCAGGCAACAGGACCCCCTGCAGGCTCCCTGAAGCCGTGGTGTGGGGGAGGGGAGGCCAGGCTGGGGTCTCCCATGGACCTCAAAGCACATGAAGGGCCAGTTATCCTGGGAGTGGAACCAGGGCCTTATGGCCTCCACGCCCAGGACTCCCGGCTCCCCACGGTTCTGCTCTGTGTCCTCGCCTCCAGGTGGGAACAGAGACATCCCTCAGGAACCCGGTTTTCCGTGCTGTTCCAACACTTGGGGGGACTTAGCAGGGCAAGTCCTCGCCCCCCCCCCCCCCGCCCCCGGAAGGGCCAGCGGAGTAGTGTGAGTTCAAATCCCAGCTTCGCCACCAACAGCTGCAGCACCTTTATAAAGCCGCCTTTCCTCTCAGAGCCTCCGTGTTTATCTGTGAGTGGTGAGGTATATATACCTTCTTTGCAGAGTCTGGAGGGCTTCCGCGTAAGGCCTCAGGGTCTGGCACAGAGAGGGAGCTCTGCACGGTGTGGCTGAGATTTGAGCCCAGTGAGAGGACAGGACAGGCTTCGTGAGGCGGTAGGAGGTCTGCGTGCCACAGAACTGGCCCTGCGCAGCCACCTCGTCTCCCTACGTTAGCCCACTTTCTAAAGCCTCTTGCGAGTTAATTTTCATTAACTTCATCTCTGATGGGTCAGGCCTCCACTCCCAAACCTTCCTGGCTCCTCCTCGCTTCTCCTGCGCCTGGGTCAGGCCCCGTAGGAGCTGCGTGCAGACATTCCCACCCAAGTCCCTTTCACTTGACGCGGTTTCTCCAGATCGCTCAGGCATCCCCTTGTAGGAAGGTCTCCTTCTACCCCTGCCCTCTGCCTGTGCCTCAGGGAGCCCTTAAGGTACCCACTGCCTCTTCCCTGAATGCCCTTCCCCTGCTGCCCCAGCCTCTATGGAGATTTGCGGCCAGTAGGCCCTACCACTGCCTGGATTCAGCCTGTTAGAAGCTCCAGGCTGGGTGGCTGGGGTAGTCATAGAAGGCTTCCGGAAGAGATGGTCCCCTCGAGGAACTTTCGGCTAGGCAGAGAGGAGTTGGGGAACAGCCACCAGCCATCAGCCACCTGGTAACCTTTGGCCAGACTGTGCCTTCCTCCTTTCCCTCGTCTTGTCCTGGGAAAACTGTGCAAGGAGTGAGGGTCGGGAGCCCCTCATCTGATGGCCATTGCTTCCCTGGGATCCTCATGCCCAGATCCCTAGCTCTCTCCTCTCCCCCACCCCTCAGACTTCGAGCAGGAGTCAGGCATTGAGACGGCCATGCGGTTCAGCCCAGACGTGGCCCTGGCAGTGTCCACCACACCTGCTGTGCTGCCTACCGTGGATGTCCAGCCCGTGGGCACCCCGTTCGAAGAGCTCCCCTCTGAGCGTCCCACACCAGAGCCAGCCACTAGCCTCCCAATGGTGACGGAGGTCCCAGAAGAGCCCAGCCAGAGAGCCACCACCATCTCCACTCCCATGGCTACCACTGCTGCCACAACCACAGGGGCCCCGACCGTGGCCTTGGTGCCTGCCACAGAGGCCACCGCCGCTCCCAGCATCCCTGCGGCACCCCCTTCCACGGCCACCACCTCTGTCATAAGGACCACCGGCGTACGGAGGCTGCTTCCTCTTCCACTGACCACGGCAGCCACGGCCCGGGCCACCACCCCAGCAGCGCCCTCACCTCCCACCACGGTGGCTGTCTTGGACACTGAGGCCCCAACACCCAGGCTGGTCAAGTAAGCTACCTTCCAGGCCAAGGGCCCTTCCCAGGCCAGCTTCCCCCCAGGAGCCTGACACCCCAGAGAAGAGCACCCTTGCCCCTGGGGACCACTGCCCCCCGGCCACCCGAGGTGGCTTCAGGTAAGCAGGGGAGAGGACAGGGAGTGAGACCCCGGGGGGTGGGGGGGGTGGGGGGGTGGGGGGGGGCAGGGTCTGGGGAGGGAGGATGGAGCTGGGCAGAGGTGAGGATGGGAAGGTTCTGGAGATGAGCCAGACTGGATGGGGAGGGCGAGAGAGGGAGGTGGCTGAAGTGCCCCTGCTGGGTGTGAGTCACAGGATAAGGATGGAGGGCGAGATGGATGGGGATGGAAGAGAGATCAGGCTGGGTTTTAGAATATTAGGAAGGAATTGGGTGATGTGTGTGTTGGTGGGGGAGGGGGAGGGTCCAGAGCCGGTGTGTTCTGTTAACAGCAGTCTCGGGACCCAGGCAGCCGAGGTCGGAACTTCTGCCACTTTTTAGCCATGGGACATCAGGAAGCCACCAATCCTTTCTATACCTCCTATACCTCTGTTTCTTTTCTTTAAAAAAAAAAAAGATATATATTTTTTATTGATTTCAGAGAGGAAGGGAGAGGGTGAGATAGAAACATCAATGATGAGAGAGAATCATGGATCGGCTGCCTCCTGCACGCCTCCTACTGGGGATCGAGCCCACAACCCAGGCATGTGCCCTTGACCGGAATCGAACCTGGGACCCTTCAGTCCCGCAGGCCGAGGCTCTATCCACTGAGCCAAACCGGTTAGGGCTATACCTCTGTTTCTTTATCTGTGAAAGGAGAAAATAAGAATGTAAATCATAGTGTTGAGAGAATTAAGTTCCCTGACGTATCCCCGTGCTGAGGACAATGCCTGGCTGTGGTAAACAAACCATGTGTTTTTGTATTATTATCATAATCACTGGTGGTGTTATTAGTCTGAAGGAGCACCCTGCCCCTGGGCACCACTTGTAGCTGGGTTGACGCTCAGTGCTATGCACTTGACCTGTGCCATCTCCTCTCTCCTCACACGGGCTGGTTCCCTGGACACCCGGCCCCAAGGGGCATCAGGCTGGGCAGTTGTGCTCTCGGACTCACCTCCACCTCAGGCATGTGGACTGGGGACCCGGCCCAAGAGTGTAACAGCTGCACCCGGAGTCCTGGGATAGAAACTCAGCAGGAATCCCCCACGGCAGCGGGAGGGGAAGTGACGGAGGAGATAGGATGGGACAGTATGTGGCCAGGGGAGGACAGAGACAGTGCAGTAAATGCTTAGAAACACAGATGCTGGAGATCTGAATTTTAGTTCTGCTTCTTCCGCTTCCTGGCTGTGGAAGAAGCTATCTTTCTGAACCAATTCCTGTTCTGTAAATTGGGCGTAACAATACTCCCTTCATGGAGATGTTGTGAGAGTAAATGCTCATTATGTGCTTGGCACAGTGCCTGGCACATAGAGTGCTTGGTAAGTGTTAGTCCACTGTGTGCGTGTGCGTGTGTGTATGTGGCTGCCCCGTGGCTGGGGGTGCTGGGGCCTGGCGCCTGGGCTCATGCCATCCTCTCTACAGACCCCAACTCCAGAGTCACTGCTGACCACCATCCGGGATGAGCCGGAGGTACCAGTGAGTGGGGGGCCCAGCGGGGACTTTGAGCTGCCAGAGGAAGAGACCACGCAGCCAGACACAGCCAATGAGGTGGTGGCCGTGGGTGGGGCTGCGGCTAAGCCATCGCCTCCACCTGGGATGCTGCCCAAGGGTGCCCGCCCCGGCCCTGGCCTCCTGGACAATGCCATCGACTCGGGCAGTTCGGCGGCTCAGCTGCCGCAGAAGAGCATCCTGGAGCGGAAGGAGGTGCTTGTAGGTGAGATGGGGCTCAGGAGGAGCTCAGGGTGGGGCAGCTGGCTGGGCCTCAGTTTTCCCTCCAGGAACCCTGGAGGATGGTCAGGGTGTGAGTTTTCTAGGAGCCTAGTTACCCAGGACCTGCCCTCTGGTTTCCCCCTTGACCTTCACCCATCCCAGGGTCTGACTCTGACTTCACGTTACCTCCAGCACCTTCCTCAGCACCCTCTGACCCCTGTTTAGACTTTGCCCTTGACCCCTGCTTTTTGGGCCATGCTGGTTGACCCTCCTGGACCTCCCTCCTTGGGTCCTGATTTCTGAGCCCATTCTTTAGCTTGATCTGCCCCTACCCTGGACCCCAGTCACTGAGGACCTGCCCTGGCTGAGTCTCCTGAAGAGTCCGGACTCAAGGTCCAATCCCCAGTCCCCACTAAGGAGGAGCAGTGTGGCCTCGGCAGGTCCTTCCCCTCCCAAGGCTCCCCTTTCGTCATCTGTAGAATGGAGATCATCATTTTGCACGAATTCTTAGTGCACATCTGTGCATATGTTAACTCCTCTGCTTGGGATGGGTCGTAGTTTAGTTGGCAGAGTTGTTCTTTCCTGATGGTATAGGAAATACTGGAACATCTTTCCACTGATGGTGCCTTACATTGCATGGGGACCATAGCCCCACCCTTGAGCTGTATGAGGCTTCGATGGGTTAGTGTGTGTTAGGCAACTAGGCCTGGCCAGGCTGCAGTGAGGGCTACAAATGGCAGCAACTCCAGTCTCAGATTCCAGTCTCCCAGCCCTCTCCCCATTTTTGCCCCTTTTTTTCAGGGCATTGTTCCTCTCCCCAGGTACTCCCCTCACCTCCAAGCCATTACCGCCCCCCCCCCAACCCAACCCCTTCCTCTGGACATGACCTCTGCTCTCTTCCTCCACAGCTGTGATTGTGGGTGGGGTGGTGGGCGCCCTCTTCGCCGCCTTCCTGGTCACCCTGCTCATCTACCGCATGAAGAAGAAAGACGAGGGCAGCTACACTCTGGAGGAGCCCAAGCAGGCGAGCGTCACATACCAGAAGCCTGACAAGCAGGAGGAGTTCTATGCCTAGCGGAGCCACAGTGCCTCCCCAGAGCCTCAGCATCGCCCCTCTGCCCAGTCCCCGGCCTGTTCTACCAGCCCTGGCCTAGGATGGGGCCTGGGAGAAGGCCTGGCCCCAGTTCATCTTTGCCCGCCCTCTCAAGGTCTGCCCAGACTGTCAGCCTCACACAGATCTTCCCCAAGGCACAGGGGGCACTGCCATCTGCCCTAGACTGTGCCCTTACGAGCTCATCTCTTGTCTTCCACTAGCCTGGGCTTCAGGACCTTGTGTCAGATGGATAGCAGGAAAGAAGCTCCTGATTGGTTGGTGGAAGAAAGGGTGTGGCTTTAGTTTGGCTTGAACTCCAACCTGGCCCCACAGGGCTTGCTGAGGTCTTTTAAGGGCAGAGAGGGACTCAGGCTAGTTTCCAGGACAAGCATTTTTAAGCTCAGCCCTTGAAATCGAGACACTGCCACCTCTTGCTTCTTCCCAGGGCCCCTTTATACCCGGGTAAGAGTGTGCCCCTTGTTGCCAGTGTGTTTTGTCCTGGCCTGCCCCAGGTTGTGGGTTCACTCTACCCTCACCCCACCCACTGCACATGCACTCTTTCCCAGTCTGTCCCTGAGGAATTGGCTTCCCAAGAGTGCCCTGGCAGTCACTGGTGAGGAGGGCTGGGCTCTGACCTCCCTCTTGCAAGTGGACTCTGCACAGATACCATCTCCCACAAGGTCACACATATTGTCACATCCAAAGACAGAAGCACGAAATGACAAAATCATACGCAATCCTGACCACCCTGCCAGTCCAGATATGTCACAGACACAAACATCCTCCCAAAGATGCTTCTTCTCATGTGTTTCTCATGCACCCCCAGATGCTACGACAATGCAAGTCACCAGTCATTGTCACCCAGTGGTGACGGTGTGGCCTGCTTCCCTCACTGTGTCTCTTTACACATGCACATACAATCTGGTACCATGCAAGTTGTTCTCTAGCTTTCAGGCTCACTGGGAGGGCGGAACCAAGCCGGAACAGTCAGCCCATATTGGGTCCCTGAGTTGCCCTGTCAGACTCAGTCCCTCACCATAGCACCCCACCAGCCACTTGCCACCAACCCCGGTGTGTCAGTCACAATCCCACGTGGATGCAGGCTCACCCCACACAGCCTGCTCTCACACTGGAGGAAGACAGGTGGGCACTGGCTTTTCCCATAAAGTGTGTGGGAGGAGTTGCCACAGGCCCCTCAGGGCATTGCACACCCCAGCCTGCTTCCCTCCTCTAAAGCCTGCAAGGGGTTGGTTTGGGGCCAGTCCCCCACTAGCCGGGAGCCTTGCTTAGGAAGGCAGGCTGGTTCCTGGAATTCTAGGGCTGGGGAGGGGGCATGGATCTCCCAGGACCAAAGGCCCTGGGTGGGGAGGGAGCAGGTGATCTGGCTCCTGGCCTCCCTGCGTCGCCTTCCTGCTCTGAGCTAGGGGCTGACTGCCTCCCAGGACACAAGTCTCCAAAGTGCCTGTGAGGGTGGGCCCTGCTGCCCGGGCCCTCTGCACCCTCTCCCCTCGGCCTCTCCAGGCCCCCCTCAGCCCAACCCCGGGTCCTCCCTGGGCCTCCCCCATTGACACCTTGTCCACGTATTTGGCCAAACAACTTGGCAGTTCTGGCTGCAGCTGGAAGCAGCCCATCCAGACGCCCTGCCCAGGGCTGAGGGCTGAGAGCAGGAGGGGACGGGTGTCACGGCCCCCAGCCCGCCTCCCCCTTCTTTACCCTTGCAAGTGGGGCCACTTCCGTGGCTATTTTAAATGTGGGGTCACAAATCTCCTTTGGGGAGGGTGCGCTCAGTGGGGGCTCTTGGAGCCTGGGATGTGGTCTGCTCGGTAGCTGGCTGGTGCTCACACCCCCACCCCTCACCTGCAACCCAGGTGAAAGCCAGGACCCCAGGTTTTACTTCTGTTCCCTTTTCAAGATGCACTGGCAGCAGACTTCTGCTGGGTGAGGGTGGGGGTGCCTGCAGCGGTGAGGGCGAGGTTCAGGGCTTCCACAGCCCGTCTGCTCACCCTCCTCCTTCCAGGCTGGGGCTCCATCGTGCAGACCCCAAAGCCCCTCTCAGCGGGGCCTGGAGGCTTGTGAGGAACCCAGCTGGTCCCAGCCTTGGAGGGGGATGTCATGGGGAGAGGCATCTGGGCCCACAAACTGTTGACGGTGACCTGGCCTCAGTCCGCCTGGAGAGGAAGGGCTGGGGCACGGATGGGTGGCACCGAGGCCTCAGCCTCCCTCCCCCCTGATCCCGGCGGGTTGCTGTCTTGGGGCAGCAGCTCTGGTGAGAAGGCCTGGGCAGGCCAAGGCTGGGAAACCAGAGACCTGTGGCGGGATGGGGGCAGGTCCAGCACAGGATGCGCGACTCCGGCTCAGACTGGCTGGAGTGGGCTTGGGTGGCTTGCCTGGGTCACTTCGGGGCCTGGCTTCCAACTCGGGGCTTTACCTTCTGGCACCGGCCTCTTCTCTGTGCCCTTAGCATTTGAGAGGAGAGACTGAGGGCCTGGTTCATGGAGCCCTGGGCAAATGTCCAGGCTTTATCCTTATGAAGTTCAACGGTCTGACCAGCCCAAATCCACTCCGGCCGGCCCGAGACGGGCAAGGCGATCCACAAGGTCGGTTCAAAGGATGAGCTGGCGCTCTCCTAGGTGCAATGTGGGGGCAGGGCCTGCCCAGATCCCCAGACACCCTGGTGCTCCCGGGGAGGGTGTCTGGTGGGCCCTGGCCTTTCCTGGCAGCATGGCCAATGCCAAAGGAGGGGGAGCTACTGTGGCTTGAGGACCTCCCTGGGGCCCAGCTGCAGGGAGCACGAGGCAGGCTGGGAGTTGAAGGTTGGACCCACCCCCAGTTGTGGTGTCTGGAGCCAGGCTCTGTCTTCCCAGGGGCCAGAGGGAGCACTTCTGAAGGGCTGGGCCGGGCAGGTCTGCGGGCGGTGGCTTGGGATGCTCGGCGCTGGACCCCCCCGGGGTTGGCAAAGTCATCTGTCCATGCTTCCAGCTGGGGCCCTGGGCACAGGGAGCAAACCCATCTGCCTCCCGGGCAGGAGTGGCCGCCGCCGCCTCAGCTCTCTGAATTGCTTCTGACAGCCACCACCCTGGACTTGCTTCCCAGGCCTCCCGCCTGTAAATAGAAGCCCCTGAACTGTACAGATTTACAGAGATGCCGAGACCGGGCCTGCAGTCACTGCCTAAGGGCTAATGGCCCCAGCATCCCTCGGTGCCCACCTGGCAGCGCAGCGCACCCGGCCCAGCGTGGCGAATGCATGTAAATATTTTTTGTAGGCAGCGTGGCTCCAGAGAGCCCCCTGAAGACAGTGTCCCTCCCGCGCGTCCTTCCTCCTGTACAGAGCCCTCCAAGGACCTGTCCTGGGGTGGCTGGGAGTTTGTCCTTCCCTGCCCCAGGCCTTCCCTGTCCTCTCTCCCCCATAACCTGTTTATTAACCACACCTATCCTGAGTTCATGGCCAAAACTTTAAGGAAAAGCCGAGGAAGAAGACTGGAAGTGACCAAGGCGCCTGCCCCGTGGGTGCTCACCTGTCCCAGGCTCGTGAAGGAACCGTTTGGGTTTTTTTGTTTGTTTTTTAACACTTCCCGTGCTGTGCCCATTTATAAGAGGAAATAAAATTAAGCTGAAATGATGTGCTGTGGCCAGACTGTGAGAGGAACATAGAGGTCACTGGGGGAGGGGCAGCCCACAGTCCCCCTTGGACCTCAGCCACCTTCCACTTTAAAAGAACTTGAGAACCCAGCAGGGAGAATTGACCAGCCACCCCTTGTGGGGGCCATTATGGTAAAAGCTGCTGTTGGTTGAGTGTTCGGGAAACCACGGAGCTGACTGTGGCCAGGCTGTGGTTGGGTGAGGGCCAGGCTGTGGTGGCACTGGGGGCCCTGGGGGCCACCCCAGAGGAAGAACTGTGGTTTCAGGCTGCAAAGATCGAATCTTGGGACCAGAGGATAATGGAATGGTCTGGCGAGGTGGGATGGCTTTGGGATCTGATGGGCCGGGTGTCAGGCTCAGGTGGCATTTGCTAGCTCTGACTCCGGAGAAGTGACCTGGGCTCTCTGAGCCTCACTTTTTCACCTGTAAAGTGGGACAACAAGGAACAACGTCCCTGAGATGGAATGGGGCAGGGATTGAATGAGGGGGACCCAGCACAGTGCCTGGCACAGTCAGCCTCAGGCACAGGGTCCTGGATGATGGTATCAGAATAGTGGAACCCAGGACAGGAGGAGTTCATGCCCTGGAAGCACAGACGGACTTCTGCGATCACAGGGGGGGGGGGGGG